AAGTATTCTATTATGCACAAACCGCCACTTAAACACTCTCGTCGTCATTCCCATGCTACAGTCTTCATGGTCTTCCCTATTGGGCTATATGCAAACTGCGACGATCTCGTCAACGATCGCACCTACCGAAATTCGCGACCCTAAACGCTCTCTCTTGGTTCAACCTGCAATGGGCTGTCGACGATCGTGATGGACAAATCTGTTTTCGGAAAATTTTCGGTGGATTCTGCAATCAGCAGGATCTGCGATGCACTTCCTGTTTGACCCTGCACCCCAAAAGCGACAGTTTTTTCTCCTAACAAATTCCAAGGAGTTCTTTACACTGTCTGCTCTTTTTCAACTTTGTTTTACGTCATTGGCTTATGTCCGTTCGCCTTGTCAATAAGCTCGGACACTACTTTTTGATATCACATCACACATGTCCACAAATATGGAATTCAAAGGCACACATCTACATTTCCCTCAAATTTACTCATAGTGAATAACAAACCTGAGGAGCCAAACATCTCACAACCGCGGCCTGCGACTTCCAAGGAGCACGTGCTTGGGTGTGTAAACGGGTAGCCTACTTATTACGCGCGATTTTTTAAATTGCTTTTTTTCTTATGGCAAATGAATGAGAGGCAAGGCAAATATAAGAAAACAACTTGAATACCAAGAGTTCCCTATAAATTCTACAGAACGGCAAGGGCAAATAGCCGATCGGATGACCGACACACAAATTTGCCAGCGTTGGAAAAAAATTAGATCCTTACGGACAGCATGCGCAGCATCGTACACAGCATTTGAACGGTCGATGGACGCTAAGCACTTTAGTTCCCGTGCTGTCGTCTAACTTTATTTCGAACGCCCGCCCGGGTCCCAGGAACATTCGGGCGAGGGTTGGCGAATCTGTGTAGGTAAACAGAACGAAGGTCTTTTTTGGCTTTTCGTAAATGGAGCAGTTATTGGGCCCGATGAATATGGACTCGGTCGGGCAGTCGGGAGGAAAGTATCAGTAAGGTGAGGCAGCCGCGAAAATGCAACCAAAGAGGCCTTTGGGGTAAAATAGCTGATATATAGATATGGGTGTATCATATTTCAACTCTACCCGACCACAATCGCTTTCCCTGATGATTTTAAAAGCTCTTAATGTGAACAAGAGTTCAGTCAAATGGCTGCCCAGCAAGTTTACATTTACAATGAAAGAAGGTGCATTTTTCCTTGTGCATGGTGTTAAAAAGAACGCCAGTGACAAGTAAGGGCACCCATTGGTACATTCATTGAAATGAAAACAAGAATTAAATGCAAATATAAAGCATGTTCTATTCGCAAACTAGAAAAAAACTACGAGGATTTGTTATATAAAGTTGGGAAATGCGGGTGAAACAGATTAACTTTGTATCAACCCCCTGAGCAACCCCAGTAGCGGCACGTCACTAAAAAAAGTTTTACCCAGCGGTCTATGGTCAGATTGGAGCTACAGCTGTTAGTAACTAAGCAAATTATTGAACGAACTGACAGGTAAATGAAAGACGAAAGCGCGGATACTAAGGCGGTAGGTTTGTTAGTCACCTCCTGTTGTCGTCAATATGACTGCATAAATGTTCACACGTTGTTGCACTCCAACAGTCTCGGATGATGTACTCCTGTTTGAGTTCAAAAGTTCAGACTAATAAACCTATCGTCGCAATGATCGCGCCCTCGGCTTTTTTCCACCAAGAGCCCGAGATGCATAAATACGTTTCCGCTTAAGAAAATCTACTCGCTAGATCATCCAAATATGGTTTTGCAAGTTGTACTTGACACCGCATACTTATAAGAAGTACCCGACACACAAAAAAGAACAAAAATTTACCTTCCTTCGCAAAGAAAACTTGCTGTCCAAGAGCATTCAAGACAACGTATTTGTTTTCGGTCTCCCAACCCGTGAAAACTGCAAATTTATTAAGAAAATTGCAATGAGTCAAATGCATTTTATTTTTGCCTAGCAAAAATGAAGGCTTAAAAGTGTGGTGGTTCTTTATGACATACAATGTACCTCAAAACACAAACGCCATGCAAGCAAGAATCAGGTCGCTCAGAGGAAACGACTGGATAAAAAAATATAGTTTATGTATGTAATGTGACTTTTGGGGGCTGTTTTCGTTCGTAAAACTACAAGATCCAAAATATAGGAGACGTCAAGTTTTGAGCGATTAGCCGCATTTACGTCATGAAGAGCGTGAAAATGAAATCTGGCTGTCATTTGCGATCTGCATTCTATAGACGTTGCTCACATAAACGCATGTTCCGGACGCCCACTAGCTATCTCCGAAGGGTCAAAACTACCCGCCAACGCTACCCGATGCTGACAGCAAATAACTCTGCATCCAGTACTTGCGTAATCTAGTCCTTCCCAATAACAATGCGAATGTTACCCACTTTACTTAGGTGCAAACACAACTAAACACCTCTCAAGGCTAACACAACACAAAACACGAAAACAGTTTCCATTGTTATTATGCAGTCGTGGGTAGCCGTCGGGTCACTGAATACCTCAAGATGCACTCATAATGTAAACCGCAGACATAATTAATTGCGGATTATCATCTACGAGGAAAGGATACATGTGTGCATTAGGAAGGGCATCTAATTGCAAATATTTCGGAAATAAGAGGTAAACATAAGTCTGTTATTAGTCTTACGTTGGGAAAGTTTTCAGTAGCAACTTTATTGGCTTCGGAACGGCATAAACATTCCTCTTTGATCTCATCAACCTACTTTTTGATAGGACAGTCTAACGCAGAAAACCCTAACGCAAAATTCGAACGTCATTTTAAAAAATTGGCAGAAGATATTTAGACCCACTTTCGAGCATTTCCTTCTTTTGTTTCACAACAAGTTTATCCAAGGACACCAAGTATTCAAGGCCGGCGGGACAGGGCACATTTGTAGGCGGCCTTGGCATCCATGCAACTTCAATGAAGGGCGTATATCAAAAGTTTAGTCTAATATATTCACTTAGTCATAAAGAAGGAAAACAAATGTTCCGTGAAGATTAGAATATAACAATGACCGAGTGTAGCAGACCTAACAATAAACCAAGTTGAGATTTGATTTGCACCAACATTTCAAACAGATAGTTTGTTTATAAAATGAGAAGGTCTGCCTTAAGTCACTAGGAAGACCATAGAAAGAACACGGCAGACACCTTTTTTGAAATTCAGTTAATTTTGGTTTCCTAATGTCAAAGTATTATTGTACGGCGAGTCGTCTACTTCAGCAAAGATGAATTCTTGGTGTAAATGAAAACACACAACTTACTCGCTTGATTGGTCATCTCTTGTGGTACTATGGTCTCGGAGAACTGTTGGTAGCTTGACAAAGAAAAATAACTTTATTTGTTATCTTCTTCAGTCATAAGATCAAGTGACCGACGTGGTACATAGAAAAAGTCCTCTGCCTAGCAAATATTCAACCCGCTTCGAAAACCCACTTGTCAATGGAGGGTCGAGAAATCATGGTTTTAAGACCTAGTTCATCTGCAATCTTTACAAATAGAGATGTTAAATCCTTGATATCACTGAAGCCAGCTGGATTAAGCATGCTGGGAGCCGTGTACAGCTGAAGTACAAACTACGAATGCTAAATTTCACCTGCAAAAGAAGACCCCATGTAAGGGACTTCCTCACGTAAAAATTGCAATAACCAAACCACATCATCAACACTCTGCAGTTTTATGCTGAGATAGTACAGAATTAGTCCACATAAAGAGCTGTAAAGTGGATGCAATTGAAAAATTAGCTACAATAGCCTCAAATTTAACAAATGTGCTCGTCCGTTTCTCCGCAATCAGAGGTCCATGCTCTTAAATACCACACAAGACTAAAGCAAGAGACAACAACGTGACCTACAGGCGCGAAGGATAACCCCAAAGAAACCAGCGTTACTCCATTGAAGTTAAGTAGATGAAAACTGACAAGCAATTATACAATTATATAGCAAGACTAATCTGCTAAGCAAAATGCGAGAAACAATGTTTTTGACCAAATTATTTCACAACATCGGGAAGCTATTCCAAGAAGCGGTCTACATTTTCTGTAGGAGCTGGAGGCAATAGGATAGAATTATACCGTACTGTATTTAGCACACTATAAAAAGGATTTTTCCCTAAATATATTCTTTATAAAGCGTCTTCCTATTTAGACGAATTATAAATTATATTTTGCTCGCACATTTGTTAAAATACAACTGTAAGATTTCGAACAAAAGTCAAAGCTTTTGGTATTTCTTTAATATTTATTGACGTAGAGACCAATTATTTTTTGCATCATACCTTACAAAGTATGGTACGCTCAGTTATTTGTAAATAATATTTGTAAGTATCATATAATACTTTGCGTAGTACCCGATTTAATGAAAATTCACTACTAAAATGAATGACTCATGGGCATTTGTGGAAGACATATGTCTATCTTACATTTTAATAAAGTAATTCCACAAATGCCCACGGGCCATTCATTTCAGCAGTTATTTTTCATTAAATCGGGTACCACGCTAATAAACTAGTACTTATCAATACTTATTGAAATGTAAGGCAAAATACACATCTAGTTGTAACCTCCGCAATTCACCACACGGAACAGAGACCAGTACCGCATGCAAGCTGTACAAGAATAAAGGAAATTCAAGGATATTGTTATCGGCTTATTCGGGTAGTACGAACTACCCTGAAACCTTATTATGGAGCAAACTTTGGTTTCAATTCAAGGCAAAGTATATCACAAGCAAGGCCTTCTGAGTTAAAGTAACACAAAATGAGATTATATTTAATCCCATTAATTGTTTTCGCAGAAATAGATTCTACAATCTCCACGTAATATACCCTGATACTGCGCTTAATATACATATATCTGCCCTGCAAGCACACGGCCCCGGCCTAGGCGGGGCAACCAAGGGCTATCCGGGGCCACTGGTAACAAAATTTCGTACAATATTTTGAACAAAATTCTGAAATCCATTTGTTTGTATCAATACCCATTAGCTTGCGTCTTCTTCTTTGATAAACAATGAAATCGGGGGTTGGAACGGGAAAACAGGGGTGCACGCTGCGAAAATAATTTCCGTAGGTGGGGATTTCAAGCCCTGTCAGCACACAGCCCCAGCGCAGGTGGAGCCACAGACGGGGCCAGGCGGGGCAATCCGGGGCTATGGGTTAACTAAATTTATTGTACAAATTTCTGGAAATCTATTTTTTGTCAAAAAAGGCATCAATAACCATTAGTTCGCATCTTCTTC